TCTAAATAAAGTCGTTCTCTCAGAAAGAGAGAGAGAAGGGGGGGGAGAACGTATTGCTAAAAAAAAAGAAACTAACAAGATATACACGAGAAGATTGGAAAATTGCGATAGGAGACAATTTTTCGAATACTTTTGTAAATCACCGTTTGAATAACAAAATCTAAAATATCATAAATCAAGCTTCTCAAAGAAAAACCGCATTTACTGCGACAGACTAATCCAACACGTTTCATTATCGACCAAAACCGACATAAACATTCGGAGCTTCTTTTTTAACTCACAGTGTCATATGACAAGAATAATTAGATCTAGATCTAGATCCAAGATCTAATTAAAAGTCACGGTTTGAATTTTTATAGCTTGCCAAGAATCTCGCATCCAAAAATTTCCTTCGCTAAAATAAAACGTTTCTGTCGCGGCTTTTCCGGAAAAAGAGAATCATCAAACGAATTAACGCAATTGTTTCCTTTTTAGAAAAAAAAAAAAAGAAGGGAAAAAGAAACGATCGCACGTGCAACGTGTGTTTCAAGCGTACATATACACACCCATCAGGCGCGAATAAATAATCGCGATAATTATCGTTAACGGGAAGGAGGAGGGCGGACACGTGGCGTTTTTACGGAACGGCCCAAGTGTGCGCGGTCCTCTCGTCGGTCCTCCACGCGGGTTAAAATAGACTATCGTTTTTCTCGTTCGATCCAATTAATCGACCCTTAGCGCGCCACGCCGCGCGGCGCGGCTCTGGATCCACGCGGGGACACGCGGATGGGGCTTGGGCGCTGACTCACTCGGAAAATATGTACCATTCGCACGCGCTACTTCTCTCCCGATTACGAGGAGCATTATGTCGTTGTCGTTGGATCGTACCTACGTATATACGCATTGAGAATATCGTTCGCGGCCGGGGCCGCGATATACGCGCGTCCGATCAGCCGCCGAGCTTTCGCACGTTGTCGCACGCAACGGCCGCATCGATATGGATTATTTCGCTTATCGGGGCTCGGTCACGAACGCACGTACACGCGTATCATCATGCATGCAACGCGAAAAGAACGTCCAATTAACGCTAGAACTATGTACGAATATTAACGTGTATCTACATTTTCACTATTTAAATATAATATACGTATATATCTTTAAACAAAAAATAATGAAGGGGGAATGTAAATTGATTTACTCATATTTAACCATTTATGTTGCAATAAAAATCACGGAGGAAATATTTCTATTATATGTACACTGTTGAATATTTAAAAATAAAATTTGAACCGGTATTTTGAATTAAATAATATTTTGCTTGACATTTTGTTATTTTTAGCTACCATGCGTGTCGAAATCTATTATTTTAACACAAAACAGTATTATTTCAACTTCATTGATTTAGTTCAATTAACGACATACAGAGCAAAAGCAGTGGCGAGTGGCGACTATTATAGGAATGATTAAAAACGATTCAAATTGTGTAATTTAACATCACGAATTCAGCAGTGCATGTATAAAAAATATATATAATACTTATATATCTTAAAAGAGGGGAAAAAAGAAAAGAATTACAAAGCCGCGTTTAACAGTTCTGGTCTTCAAATAAAATTAAAAAAATTCCCTATCTCTTTTTCTTTTTTTTAATCTCGTGGTCGCACCGCGCTGAGAGAAAAACTGCGGAATGCCGCCGCAAATCGATCCGCGGGCAGATTATAATCGACCGCCGTTCGCCGTAGCTCGGGAGACCGCCAAACCGTCTCCCCGATGACCTTCCGCCGTCGCAATGGGAACGAATGCACACCCCACATCTCGGCCGTGCGCCACCCTGTCGCATGGCCGCGATCGAACGCGCTGCTTTCTGCGAAGAAGAAAAAAAAGAACCGCGCGCTAAATTATTAATACCGTCGGCGCGACGCATCACAAAACCTTCGACGCTACCGTCCACGTTCGTCGCTGCTCACAAACGACCGATAAAATAACGGTGTCGACGTACGGAATCTCGGTGTCGATGCACAAAATGTTCGTACCCCGCAAGCCAAAGGTCGTACAATAACACGCAGCTATTAAAATAAAATACAAGATAAAAGTCCGAATGTGAAGTAAATTCAACTTTCATTAAAGTCTGGAAACGTTGTACGCGTTTCGGATTAGGGGAGATGTGTCGAGGGGTTCGCTCCCGAGAACGCATGACTGCTAACGATAATGATTTACTTTCGGAAACAACGTGGTATATGTAACTTAATTTATTGATACCGTTGGATGCAATCGTAGTTGTTTATTTGTTACTTCATTTTCATCGCGCCACGATCAATAATTCAATTAAACGGAATGAATTCGCATCGTGTACACTAGGTGTTCCCGACCCAGCGAGCCGTACTTTTGCATTATTTCAATAGATTCTATATCAGTCGTTTTCTTTCTTTTTACGCCGCAAATTAGACTGAAGTCTACCCTGCTTCGACGTAGCGGCTCTAGTCTCTGAAAAGAGATCGTATCACAGTCATTGAAAGCTTCAATTCAAGATAAATAATTAAACTAAATTATCATTGACGTCAGATTCGCTTCGAGCTTACTGAACAGTAACAATTTAATTATCGACTAGCGCTTTTGGGGCTTAACTCGCTTAAGCGCACTCTTCAATTTGCACAATTTCTCCCTCCAGATAATTTCATAATTATATCGAAGCCACACAACGTCGAAGCAATTGCGGATTTAATTAATAACTCGGCTGTTCGAGGCTGAAAGACAGCTCGGCAGGTCTAGGACAGTCTATATACACAGATTCAATGACGCAGAAACTACAGATAGCTACTGTGATACTAGAACGCGGTTCGCACGTCGTAACTCACCGCTATTCTACGACGCCAAGAATTCGTGGTGATTAAATCGAGTCTCCGTATAGCAGCGTGTAATCTTATTTAACAGCACAACTTTGACGTGCGCAAACAGAATCGGAAAAGAGCCGCTGTAAATATCTGTGCTAAATTCAGAAACGTATAGATACAAACGTCACTTTCTCCTCGGTCTTGCACATTTATTCCTCGCCGTGCTACTTATAAATAAATACATCGCTCGACACGTCGTGAACAGTCAATATCATTCGCGTTTTCTACAATCCTCCGTTCGATCCTTAATTAATATCAATTTTGGTACCTTGTCTCTCACTACAAATCTGCGCGGATTCGTTTTCGCGCGACGCAAAAGGTTGCGAAAAAAAATATTAGTATCGTTTTGCCGCAGTCGTAACTTCGTTAACGACACGCTCATGCTAATTTGCACACATGCATGCGTGAAAAGCGAAGAGGGCTCCTGTCGAAAGTGACTCAGTGGTTCACGCGTTGATACACGGATTTACGACTGTGACACGGTTGAAAACAATGCCCGGTTATTTGACGCAACAAAAGGAATGGGACGTAACGATTTAGGCCAAGCGAGAGAAGACGCGTTGCAAGTAGGCTAAGGTGACTTGCTGTAAAAGAAAGTAGCTAGACGCGAATGCTTACATTGGAAGTAATTATCCAAGTCACGGTAAAGGAGCGAGCTATGCTCAGAGGTGCTAATTTTTACAAGTACCTCCGATTACCTCGTCCGGTTTCAATTTCAGCAATCCGGAATCAATTGAGAGAGACGACTCTTGCGTTTCTCCTTCGGAACAATTTACGGTCGATTTATCGCGTTTTTTTTTTTACAATTCCTCGTAAAATTGATCATCAATTAACTATACACACTTCGTGCTGTGCGCAAATTGCATATTATCCATAAAAATTAATCTTACTTTTTTTTCTTTATAAGAAATTCGTTAAATATGTTACAAATAATATACATATATAGAACAACAATAATAAGAATTCGATACTCTCTTGTTCGAGAATATATAATGTGTCTTAAACTTTAGATAATTAAATTTCGATTCGAGTAACGCACGCAGTATATGTGTGTTGTATGAATATCGTGAATTCGTATGCGATGATTCATCGTGACACACACACACTCACACACATACATACATATACATGTATATAATATATAAATACATATTTTTATAAAAAACGGTGATACATCACTGTCCCCACGTTTTCCGGCATTAAATATATATAACTTCTTAAATGCGATTACATTTGGTATGAATTACAAAAAATACACAGAGTATATCATGCGTATAAAAAACAGTTGCGTGTGTCACGGAAAGTCTATGATAATCTTCGTATAATCTACGGATCGTAATCAAGCTTTCGAAGTTAGAAAAGAGACAGTCCGGATCTTTAGATAACACAAAAATCCACATTTCAAATATTGACGAAATATTGACATATCATACATTAAGTCCTGTATTTGTTAAAAAATAAATATGGATTTTTTACAAAAATCTATATTCGTATCGCGAAAATATAGATAATAAAAAATAGATATCAATTATTAAAATTAATCTTATTAATTTCGATAATTGCTCTCTTCCAGGAAAATGAGATAAGAGATTAGGCGAGAGTTGGAATGCGTGTCTTTCTCGAAATCCTTGGAGAATTATCAAAGTTATTAGAAGAATGTATATTTCGACAAGAGCGACTAATCCGATTCAAAGTTCTTGATTCAAATTAGTCCTACTAATGTCGAGAAATTAATTATTAAAATTCAAATTCGCAGCTTAATAAGAAACATGTTATATAAAATACTTTCTGCAATTATGGAATGGAATTAGTTTTTAATGGAAAAATCAAATTCAAATTTGCATGCTTCAAATTTTGATAATTTGTTTGAGATTATCATGTACCGATTACATAAATCTCTTTCAAATATAGATTACTATTACGAACATTAACTGCTTAATATAAACAAGTGTTAGTTATATTCTATAATACTCTGCTATTAGCTACAATTAACATATGCTCTATAATACTCTGTGTAATATAATATAATCTATAAAATATAATACTAATAAAAATAATATTGCTATAGTAAAATAAACAATATTTGCCACGGTGAAAAACCATTATTTTGTTATATCGTTCTGAAGAAATTTCAACATGCCGAATTATGTAAATTACAACCAAGTTTTTTTTTAAATAATTGTTGCCCTGATTACGATCGAGATTACTTCGATTACCGAAAGCATCTATCGTTACTGCTTCATTGTTTCGTTTCGTCATCGTTATTAGCATAATTAATTAACGGCTATGCGTATTTGTTATATTTGGCCTAATAGTAATACACGTAACTAAACGGGATTATTACGGTCTACTGTCGTGTTACAGTCTAAAGCGCATACGCGTTATTTGCTACAGCAAAAGCCGACGACGAACAAAAGGTTCGTGCGCATCGATAACGGAGTATTGTTAGCTGCCTAATGGTCTTGGTATACATAGAATTCTATACCTCGGGTGAGTTTGGCGTGGTCGTATTGATATGATCCTGCAAGCAAATTCTGAGATCCCGCTCGTCCAATTCGCTTTCAGTATCGACGCTAAAGCTTCGCACGGTTTGCCCGCCGAGTCCCGTCCACCGTTGTTTCCAGCTCTCTAGTCGCATGACCTGTGACAGACAGATGCGATGCAAAACGCATTTTCTAAGTAATTCTCCAGGAGGAGAGAGAAAGAGCCTGCTACGTCCTCCTTCACAAAACAAAAATATCTATTTGACTCTCATTACAAAAGAAAGATCAGAGAATATTATTAAGAGAAAAGATGATTCTCTGTCTAATTAAATTTGAAATTTCGTAGCTGTTGCAATTATTTTCCAGAAAAACATTTTATTATAGTTATAATAAAATGCCTAGTTATAATGCCATTAAAATTAATTATATTATTATTTATTTTTCGCCATTAGATTCAAATAAAAAATTCTGCCTTCTTTTCTGAAAAGATAGCTCTAAAAATTGTAACTTAAAAAACATTTTGAAAGAATTGTTTACAAATTTTCTGATTTCCTAAATTGTAAATATAAAGATTCTATTACTAAGATTTATTGCATCAATGTATATACAAATTTATTACCATATCGGATGAAATCGTGCAAATGAATGATATATCGAAGAAAAAAAAACTCAAAACTCGATCCCGCCATTAATTTAGTGAAGTTTAACGAATGTTTGCGCGGATACTTTCCACGCCTCTTTCACATCTATGCGTTTTTTCTTCTTCGAGTTAAAAGCAGCAGCCGTGAATGTTTATCAGAACGAAACAGTGAACTTAATCTGAAGGAAGCATGCCGTTAAACGGGAAGAGCATGCCATGCCACATCACCACGCATATAATACAGAAAGTGAGCCACATTTTAATTCAGTTTTAACTTTAATTCATCTGATCGTGTCCGATGTTACCACTCGTGTCGATTTACACGACAATATTCATTGAAAGTTGTATACGTTAAGTAAATAAAACATCTTGAATCTATTCTTCTACGCAAAACAATTTCTTTTTTTTTCAAACAAATTTAATTAAGTTTTTCAACAAAACTAATTATATCGATAATAACATACACCTACGATGCATGTCTAATGACTTTGTCAGATAATTATGAATTGCAAATCTAAATCTGTTTACTCACTATGTAAATGAGCGCTACGATTATTAACAGCAAGAATTCCGAACGGAATTCTTAGATGAAAAATGTAAGCAACAAATACAGAGCTACAGCACCAGATTTATCTATAGTAAAAGAAATCATGCCACACGCACATACCACGGAGACGTTAGAAAATGATGCTTACGCATGGATAAAGACTTACTCGAGCCAGCGCCAAGGCTCAGTCTCCGGGCTGGTGATTGGCGTGGGGAACTGAGGAGAGACAGAGATAACACAGCAATAGAGGGTTAGTTTTGCAACAACGATTAGTCCCTTCTGGTTAGCATTAGTTACTGCTTGACACCGTTACACAATAAGAATGTAATTCGTAGATATTATCACCGTAGATATTATCTCTTTGCGCAACGAAATCGAGTGTATCCTGTTTCAAAAATCGCACCTGTACATTCACCGATTAAACGACAAAGCGTCGATTTTTTTATTGTTAACAAAGTACATAGCATTAGTTAATTTATTAGTAAGAGATATACGTAACAGGTCTTTTTAATATAGCGGTAATTGAACGGTACCAAAATAAATAAAATAACAAGCTACACAAGGAAATAGAGTGTGTCCTCAAGATTCACTGACAAAACAGATTTTAGTCATAGTAGTTAGTTGTGAATATTTTTCTCTCTGCAGTCCACCAGAAGCGACGATGTTATGAAGCGTGTTGGTTAGCGTTAAATTGCAGTAAGAGGTGCGATCTGTGCATCTTGTAAGTGTATGACATCAATAATGAGTTACGATATCTTTATGTTTATGGATTTAGCAAAGTGAAATGTCTTTTTGCATATGGTAGGCGCAATTTTGTAGTTTATGAGTGCAATATGTGATAGCACATTGAAAATCAAAACGTTCAATTTACATATAATACATTTGTTAGGACTGTATGTGGTGTCTTTTATACAATCTTAGATAACATGTATATCACATTTAAACGTAAATACCTGGGATCGATATTAACATGGTATCAAAAAGATCAGTAATTAATACTGTAATGTATTTATCATGATAATCGAATTATTTTATAAAACGCAGTACCACATATATATTGTAGAATCAGAAGAAAGAACACGTAACAATGCAGTGCTTTAAAAAGAACAAACAGTGAAAAATATTTTTATTGTATCTCTGAATGGGGTTTCGTAAAATATTCCAAAAATGTAATTATTGCCAATGACTGTAATTGTGATTATATAATTATAAAACTAATAAATTTATTAATAAAATAATTGAATAAAGTTATTAAATATTTATTAATCATGTGAATCATTATTTCAAGTTACTTTTGTTTACTGTTTAGCTGTATATATATAATAGAAACTTTTGCTACACTGTTGCAAT